TGAAATTCTTCAGGTGTTTAAACACTTGATTCTATTCCTATTTGTAACAGATGAGCTTCAATAACTACCACATCCTGCTTCAGCTCATGATGGCTGACAAGGTTGCAGAAAACCCCTTTCCCCAATTCTACGTCTGAGACAGAATAAAACTCAACAATTTTTGTCATCTTACAAAGACGGTTTAAATCCGCTTTTTAATATGTATTTCTAATCCTCCAAACTTCTTCAGCCTAATTCTCCCTGATAACACAATGGCTAGTCTCCAAGATTATATTTATTCTTTATCTGGTTGAAGAAAAGCTGTTGGGGAATGGCATATCAGACAAGAAGACATCTCTCTATTTCAGTAACACTGTACCACAGAAGTTCTTGAAGAGCACAAGGTATGAAGGTCAAATTCTTCTCTTGTGCTGGGCTCTGGGGACCCCATTTTGGGGTTTCAGTTTTCTCTGTAGCAAGAACACCTGGGTGTATGAGAGGGGAGCAAGGGTGAGTAGGAAGTGAACAAACAGTGCAGATGGCAGGGAATATATTTATCCGCTCTTCCCACAAGTTGCTGGCTGCTGTTCTTTTGAGGAGAAAAGATCTCTCCTTACCTCCTTTAGATAAAGGTTCATCCAGAGAACAGGGTCTAGAAGCAGCTGAATCTCTTGCTGAGGAATTCACTGTGGGTCTTGAACACAGCCGAGTCCTTCCTCCTAAGCTGCAAACTTGGCCGCTACAGTAAGCTCCAGCAGCTTTTCTGAGTAAAGCTGGAAAGGTAGATCATCATTTATACTACCTGGATTATTCAGTTTGCCTACTCCTTCCCACGCTTATTACCTCTTAAGACTTCAATCTGTACTGCCAAACACTTCTGCATAAACTAAACAAAGGAAAAAGACAATTATAACTCAGTCCAGGATGAATCCTGAAGAACTTGGTGGAAAGGGAGGGAATGAAAAATGCTGCTAGCAACTTCTAATTTTTTATTTTTTATTTTTACTTTTCGCCCACAATTTTTGTAAAACATATTTCAAAAAGTGAAAGTAAAAAAAAAAAAAAAAGGGCTTCAAACTGATTTATTTTCTTGTGCTAACAAGTATTTTAATCTACATTATTTTTGTCCTAAATCAGAAAAATATAGTTTATCAGCAGTAGCAAAGAAGTGTTGTGTCCATGGACAGAGATATGACTACAAAAGAGCAGACATTTATAGTGAATATTTCTTCTTTAGAATATTCTTGCAAATATAAAATCATAGAATAATTTGGGTTGGAGGGGACCTTCAAAAGTCACCTAGCCTAACCCCTGCACTGTGCAGAGGCATCTTCAACTAGGTTACTCAGAGCCCCGTCCAGCCTGGTCTTGAATGTTTCCAGGGCTAGGGCATCCACCATCTCTCTGGGCAACCTATGCCAGTGTTCCACCAGCCTTACTGTAAATAATTTTTTGCCTAAACCTACCCTCTTTCAGTTCAAAGCCATTCCCCCTTGACCTATCACTACACACCCTTGTAAAAAGTCCCTCTCCAGTTCTCTTGGAGGACCCCTTTCAGTACTGGAAGGCTGCAATGACTCTCCCAGGAGCATTTTCTTTTCTAGGCTGAACAACCCCGACTCTCTCAGACTTTCTCTGTAAGAGAGGTGCTTCGGCCCTCTGATCATTTTTGTGGCCTTCCTCTGTACTCACACCATATCAACAAGAGTGATGCATTTCCTTACCCTGAGTACCTTTCTGGTATTTGAAATAGTCTGTGATGCTTGGAATAGGAGAGCAAAACAAATCACTGCAACTGTGTTCAAGCCTAGACGTTCAATATAACCAACTGGGAAAAGTGGAGAATGAATTGTGTAAATAGCAAGTTACAACATTGTTTGTTGCTTTCCAGCCTTTCAAAAATCAACATTTTTTTGCCTTTTCTGGTTATTTCTGGGTTTGTGGAGTTCTTTATTATTATGCAAATATGACTCCCTTTATCATTGAAGGATATTTTATATCAGGAAACATAAATAACTAAATAAACGCCTTGTTACCTGCATTCATAAGCCACAGAAACCTCTGCAGTGTCAGGGACACCATCAGAAATGCATACAAGGACAAAGATGTCTGGAAGCTTATTGCTTTCAGATATTTATTCTTGAAATTCTTATGTTGCAATAGCATCTAGAATGGCTCTGCAGGTGGGCACCTCATCAGAGGATAATTACTCCTCACTCCACAACAGCTTTGGGTGAGAGATCTGGACTTAATTGCAAACTGAAAAGGAAAGCTGCTGGTACCCACTTAAGCATCACTTTTCACCATGGGTATCATAAGAAGCAGAAAGTCATCAACTGTTGATATCCAGCAGCAAGGAGATCTCTGTGCATTCCTCTCTCACTGATGTTCCCAAAAGAATCAAATAGGTTCATACAGAAAAAGCAAATCTCTTCCAAATGTGATACTCAACAACACCGTCCTTGAAACAACCCAATACAGTGATCAACTACAAGGGTATTGGTTCTTTCCAACTTCACTGACAGATTATGTCATTCTCTCCCTCCCACCACCTTTAGAATCCTTACTCCGAAACATTAACTTTTTTTTCATGGTTTCAAACTACTTTTGATACCAAAAATCTAGCCCATACCTCTGACATCAAACATATTTGCTGACTATACACACACAGTGGGTGACATAAGAAGGCTCTTAGGTATGAAGTCAGCTTGGGGATATTGCATACCCTGCTGATTATCAAGAACAATTTCTAAGGGGGAAGTGCAGGGGGAGAAAGAAAAAAAAAAAAAAGCTTTAAAAAGCTATTTGCCCCTCTGATTTTCAGCTCTTTGAAAAAGTAAGAAAGAACAGAAAAGCACCCCTGGTGTGTGGTTAACTACAAAGGAACTATTCTTAGCAGGTTCCTTCAGTAAAATGAAGGGTGCTTTGATTGCATTTTTTGGCCTTGCTAATCTGACAGATATTGATGGATAATTTAGAACAGCCAAAATCTTTGTTCTAAAAACATTGACTCATACATGTTACATCCAGATGCTTTACTGGGTTCTTAATAGGTATCAAAGCTTCCTTTGAATACTTTTAAGTTGCATTTTATACAATTAAGAGTGTGTGCATGTAGGGGAGGGAAATGATAGAGAGAAGTTCAACTAAGAATAGTTTAAAAAAGAATTTTTATGCCCTTTAGCACACTCTAAATACAACCACTCCCACCACTTTGTTTCTGCCTAATCAAGTTTGAAAATTTACAGAACCAAGATTCTTAATGAGCAATTAGGGCCTTGCAGGCTGGTCTCTCAAACAGGTACAGGAGCTTGTGTGTAAACACTCCAGCACTGACTTCCCCACCACCCCCTGCCTCACAGACAGGGCAGCAGCAGCAGCAACCACCCAGCCTGCCGGAGCCAACTGGCCCCACCTGGCTGCCCAGGATGGGACATCCCTGTGACTTCTGACAGTTGGCCTTTCATCTCTTCCATAGGTAAAGGGGCCCAGTGTCCCATGTCCACTGGGATTTATGAAAGGAGGAATACATTCATCTGAGAGCACGTGAGAAAGGCACCTCCACACGGCATAAGCTGCTTTGTTTGGTAAATCATGAATGAAAGCAGCAAAGCACACATGCAGCCTCTCAGCAGAGCTCTTCTCCCTGACAGTGCCCCAATCACTACCACCACAGAGCAGCTGAACAGGCACATGACTCTGAAAATAAAGAGCCAATTCCATGTGGGAAATAAAGACACACAGACAAATCAGACACGGAAGAACAAGAACAGAGGCAGCAGGTTGCAGCAGGGGTTAGGGAAAAGCAATGTGGCACAACTCGCAGAATTTCCAAGTCATATTGTTGCCCAAGCCTCATTCTCACCAACTCCTGATGGATGAAGCTTTATATACTGGCTATTCTGCTTTGCAGTCACTATGGGACAAAGTCAATAAAGACTTAATTCATCTCTTTATAAGGTAAACAGACCACAAGTAAATACACCATTCTTCCCAAGGTGAGCAATATTCTTCAGGTTGTGTTTCAGTAGAGAATCCTCCTAGTAGAAAACCAAACAAGCAGACAAATCACAATGCATGTGCAATGTGACAAGTATAAAGCATTGACAGAATTTCTGATCTGTCAGGAGTCAGAGCTGCTGCTAAAGCATTGCTTTTGCTTCCTCAGCATGTCAGTGGAATCAGCCAGTCACTGACAGAGGTATTGCAGCAGCAAAAAGTATCTCCTGGGCAAGCAGAATCAGGCCATGTCTCTGCGCCTGTTTGCAATAGTGTAAAGAGTTCATTAAAGTCAGGAAATTTCCAAAGTCAGTTTTAGACAGTTCACTGGAGAGAAAGCTACTCACCCACAATGCTGACTGCTGTTCTATTTTAGACTAGTGTAGTCTGAAAACAAGAAATCCAAGGCATTAGCATCACTAGCACCAGCCTTAACATAGCTGGTAGTGGCGCAAAGCATACCTGATGGCTACTTAACAAGGGTAAATGGACTTCCATCCTTATGCTCAGCACAAAGTCAGCCACAGGAACATAGGAGATGGGATCTCAACACACAAGAGTCTATACTGCAACTTGAATTCCCTTTTCAGTCTCAGAGATGTTACATAGAACATAATCATGCAGTTTCACAGAACTTGTTTTTACTCCATTGCTTTTGAAATTCAAACACAGAAGCACAAGCCTCTTTCCCAAACTATGGATGTCAATCCCTCAATAGCTATGCTGAAGGTGAGCTAGTAAACATCTACCTGCAGCAGCCATTGTCAGCAGTCACCCAGAGAAAGTAGCCTCTCCTCCTGTGGCTGGGCTCACACAGGTGGGAATGCAAGATCCAGGAGCATTTTCATTGACCCCGTGAAGTGCAGCACAGGAACAGAGGTTCCCCTGGGCTGCCTCACCAGCAGAGCTGAAATCCTCTGGAGTTGTTCAGAGGAAGTTTCAGTCATTTACATAAAGGCAAAGACAACAGCTGTGCTTTCAAAGATGGATTCCCAAAAAAAAAAGCAACTATTAGAAAAATGTACTCTTTAAAAGACCTTTATTTTGGTTGCACAGTTACAATTTTAAAGTCCATTTATGCTTACAGTTAGATTGTTCCCAAATAATATTTCATAGCTCATCATGTAAACAGTGCATTCTCTATCAGTCTGGTGTATAAGAACTTTATAAAATACAGATGAAGTTACTTTTTCTTCTATACACTTTCAAATTAGTTCACCAAGATCAATTAAAAAGACAAATAGATTAATTGGCAAAAAAGTGTTGTTATATTTTTAATATATTAGTACAAAATGGCACAAAAGGAAGAAGGTCATTTTAAAGGCCATAAGCATCAAATGCCTTAAATAGTTTCAATCAGTTCAACCGATTTTAACTTAATTTCAAATTCCAGTGTTGAACTTGGAATTGAACCTGTAATCTTCTTTTCTTCAGCTGTATGAAAGACCTTACATACAAGGTTGGACCTGTTCATGGAAACTAAATCACAGCAGTTTCAGAACAGTGACATTCAAGTGTAGCTAGGAAGTTGGGAATTTCTATTTTTCCCAGTAACTCTAAGAATTCACAGACTAGACCTTATTTTCATTTAGCCAAAGTCATTGATGCACACTTCAGATGCAAAGATACCAGATGTGTGCACATAAACACAGTATTTCTTAATGCAAGAACTGAAACAAAAAATTGACATGATTACACCATCCACCCTACCTACCTTTGCAGGAGGCTTTCAGACATAACCATATTCAATGCCAGATACAGAGAAACAAGAGCATCTAAAATATTTCAAGAAAACTGAAGGTTTAATTCACAGGCTTCAGGTATAAAAGAGAGATCACACCAACTTCAGCAACCTAAGTTTTATTTTTGAACCACCCATATCAAATGGGCAGGTGAGTTGGATGGAAGGGAAACAGAGAAGAAATACATTTCTAACTTAAAAATAAATTCAGAGATGTGAATGTGTTGCCTCAAGCAACAGTCCAGGAGTTTGTTTTGGCAGCAACATTTAGCAAAATCCCAAAAGATAATTACCCACTCTGTCAAAACAAATTATCCTGACTTTGATTAGCCCCTAAACCTTGAGAGGTTTTTATGTTTAAGTTAAAGGAACAGTTTATGACCTTGACTGTTTTTTTCTCGTAAGACAGCACCCATATCCAAGAGGGCAGGTAGTTATACTGAGAACATTATTTCTCAGGTTAAAATAAAATGTCTTACAAAAAAAAAGTAAGTGTGATGAAGTACAGAACTACTATTTTACTCAGCTTCACAATGAGCAAACCATGAGTAGGAATTTCCTTTCCTAATTTAAATACCAATTACAAAGCTTTCTCCAGAGACTTATTTTGAAAGTAACCATATGATGAGTCCAAGAAGCAATAATCCAACAGCAAGTATAACAATGAGTATGCACATCTTCTTTCGGGATCTTTGCTGCCAACAGAGAAAAAAACAAGTTGATTGAAAACTGTACTACCACATCAGAGGAATATTCAGATGCTTTTATGGTCCTACTGCTTGTGCAATCTAACTAAATTGTGTCCTTACTAACGAGTCATATAAAGATGTTCAAGGGAAAAAAAAAAAAGCAAAGTAATCCACATTATTTTATGGCCATATTATTCAATGGAAAGATTTCAGTGGTTATTTTCTGGCATACCTAATAAACTAATGAAAGAGAATGCAGTAATATAATGAATGGATGTAATTACAACACTTGGGGAAGTAAATGTGAAAGTGCAGATGACAGCTTATAGAGGAAAATAGACAATCAGAGGAGATAGAAATGGTCTGCTAGGAAAAAAAAACATTCAAAGACTATTAATGTATATACAGAAGGGGAAAACAGACTACAATTTTAGACTTCTGTGCATCCATTCACAGAGTTATTTTAAAGCTGGTTTTGTCAACTTTCTTAGGTACAACTTGTTCTTAAAGAAAAAAACAAACAAACAAAAAAAGAACCCCAAACCAAACAAAAGAGACCTGACTAGAGACCCAGATATGTAGACATTACTACAATAAAGCATAAATTATAAGCATGTTCAGAACTTCTGCATTTCCCATACAGATCTGTAACTTGAGATACCAGAGCACTTCAAACTAGAAGCTGTCTGTCATTCTTTATCTGAAAGATATGGAATCAGAAGGTTTCCTTCAAAGGAGGAAAAAAAATTAGCAATGGGTTTCTCAGGCTGATAGCCTAAGATCTCTTGCTTACAGCCAAAGAATAATAACACTCAAATCTTGGGATTCTAGGATACAGCCCCAGAAGTAAAGCCAGGCTGTGCTCTACTTGGCAGAAGTTCTTCTGTCTGGGTGGTTTTGTTGTGTTCTTTTCTTTCCCTTCTCATTCTGAAGAAGAACATTTGTGTCAGTTCTTCATTGGAGTTGTCAGTTCTCCGCCGAGTACCACCCAGACTACCAAGTTTTCTAACAATTCTTCCCTCCTAGTTTTACTGTCTCATTGCCACTTCTCCCACTGTCGGCTGATATTTCTTCATTTCATCATTTTACTTGCTAGAACTCAATCTGTTTGCTGGAATATCTTCCTTTTTTAGACCCTGCAGCCAGTTCTCTCTTTACACTCAAGTCTCTTCCTTCTGCATCCTGCAGACCACCCCTCGACAGCAGTGCATTCAAGTCATGCATTTCCACTGTAATACTACTTAAGCAAGGGAGTAGTCTAAAGACACGGCAATCTTATTTTCACATACAATGGGTCATCACTTATACAAGTGCTGAAGCAGCACTGGAAAAGGGGGAAAGAAAGAATAGAAGCCTGGCTTTACCCAAAATGTTCTGCTGTGTGAATGCACCCCACACAGCACATGAGTGATGCAGATCTCAACCAGCCACAAACAAGAGCTGTGAGGGTACCAACAGCCCTGTCCCTACCAGCACACCCAGGCCTCTCAAACTTCCTTGAGCAGGTCAGACCATATAGATATAATAGTTGCTGAAATTAAAATAAGTCTGCTGAAAGTGGAAATGATTTTTCAGTGCCTTGGAACAAGGATGATTGCAAGCAAAGGAAAGTTCAAATCTAAAGCAAATTACACAATCCTTTCAAACAAACACAGGACAAGCACGGTGTTTGGTCTCTGCTGGAAGACCTATTGAACAGAAGCGCGTCCAAAAGTATCAATAACTTTCCTTTGACATCAGAAGATATTCATTCCTTCCTCCTCAAAATAAAACATGAAGTTTTTAATTTTAAATTTCAACCAGAAAACTAACACCTGCCACTGAAAATTTTGGTTGCTATTAATTTTTTTTCCCCCTGAACTTTCTCATTCTCAAAATAGGAACCATCAACTATAGTTAATGTGCCAATTGGTCCCACCCAGAATACAGTTCAAGGATGCACCTTCTCCTGCTTCTGAAATCAGTAAGCAATGCTTCAGACATTCTGTCATTCATTTACTGTCCTGGTTACTACTAAAACATATAAGAGGATTTAAAGAAAAAAAAAAAAGTCTATGGACTAACTCTAACTTAAAAGGGAAGATTAATCACTAATAAGATTATGTCTAGTAAGTTCCAAAAATGTTATAAAACTGAGGCATTTAAAGGTATTTAAAAGGTTTTTCAAAAAAGTTTGACAGTGTCAAATATGAGCTTTGAGAAGATTGTAGACAGCAAAAATTGGTGCTAACTGGCAATGTCTTCAGAAGACTTTCTTGCCTATCTTCCTTACTCCTCCATTTAAAAGAACCTTTTACTTCTTGAACTATAAACAAGGGGTTGCCTTGCCTCCGATTTTTTGTTGGTTTGGAGGTTTTTGTTTGGTTGGTTTTAAATAAAGATGTAACTCCAGGTTTTCTCATAGAATCATAGAAGGCTCTGCAACAGCCTGTCTGAAAACAGCCTTACAGGAAACCCAAAGCTTTCAGAGGTCACTGACTTTTGTTTTATAGTGACCTAGAAACACCATGGGAGCCTAACATAAACCTATACCTAAGTCTTCAAGCCTTGAGGAACTTGCTAAGCAAAATTTGAACTGCATAAAAAAGTGGAAGTCAGGACTACTGAGAAAGGAAAGTTACACACAACTGGCAGTCGGCACTGGCATTACCTGGTAGTTTGCTGCTCTTGCCAGCTGCTGGTTTGCTTGCTGCACATGTACATCTGCATTTTCCACGTTGGCTTCTATGCTGTCTTTATTTTAAAAGGAAAGATTTCAAATTTTTGTTAATCATAACCCAGAAAAAGATTTGGCATGTTGAAATACTCTTGAGAGCATGTGTAATAGCTATTCCCAATTGCTGGTGTCTGCATCAATATCCAAAGTTTTATACCTTGTATTATGAAAGCTTGACCCACCCTATACTAATGCCAGAGCTCATTTTAGAACTGCCCAGGCAATGAGTGGCTGAATTCATGTCAGGTAACAGCTCCCCTGTTTGATACCAACCAAAGTAAAAACTTTTAGTGCTTCTACATTTTTTTATTTTTTATAATAACCTTTTATTTGCACTCCAACTTGCTACTGACTACTCTCTGCTCAGACAAAAAAATTCCTAAGGCTTGTGAAAACAGAGGAAACAGACACAAAAAAAAAAAAATCCCAAAAAGCTAGTTTGGTATTCTGTCATACTGACACAGATTTATTTTTTCCCCTGGAAAAATATTAACAGATTATGGGCTAAGGTGATAGAAAAGGCCCTGAAAATATATGCTGGACATAGACAACAGCACGACTTGGCAACAGACTCAGAAAATGTATTCTCCAATCACATTTTATTAAAACATTAAACCTATTTGTGTGGAAGGCAAAGAATGAGCCTTTGCTGAATCTGCACACATATCATCAGCAAATACAGTAAAACTTCCCACATAAATGCCAATTTTATGTATAAACAGTTCAAAAAACTAATTTTAAAGACATTTTATACACATGAAAATTACATAATGTTTTAAATTACATTTTAAACATACTTTATGTATTCCCAGTCACCTCAACCAGTCTACCCACTCTTAGGCTACACTGCATTTGCTTTAGCATTGTCATTCTCATTACAGGAATCTTTCCAGCAAAAGAAGTTCTACGTTACAGCTCTCCAGAGAAACCGAAAAAAAAATTTTCAGATAGTATTTGAATTGGACTTACCTATCACATCACCTTGCTCATGAATCATCATTCCTAGATCTTTAAAAATTTCATTGATGTCCATAATATCAGCCTGTAGAGAACCAATTGTAGCATGAATTGACACCACATATTCAAGCATCTCTGCACATTTAGATTTAAATAGTGTTAAATAGTGCACATCCCTGACTCTTTATACTACATACTTTATACTACTAAAAACCCCAATTTTATGTACTTATTTGGAAGGGGTTTCTTGGCACTATGAGACTAAGTTTATCGTAATAAAATTAACCACCAAATCAAACTGAGGATGAGCATGTGCACAAAGTACACTTCCCAACATATCACAAACAGGATCTCTCATTGCTGAGGGCTCACCTAGACACACGTTTGTATTATAAGTTTAACTGCAGGGAAAATTCATGACGACATTGCTTAAAATGTATCTGTCTAAGCCAAACTAATAAAAGCCTGTGTAGGACATATTTTGCATTAGTTTTAGCACTAGGGAGGTTCAGATTAGATATCAGAAAATTTATTTTCACTTTAGATTAGGTGGTCAGGCAATTGAATAGATTGCCTGGGGAGGTGGTGGAGTCACCATCCCTGGAAGTGTTTAAGAGGCGTCTGGATCTGGCCATGGGTGATATGGTTTAGGCGTTACAGTGGTAATGCTGGGTTGACGGTTGGACTTGATGATCTTAAAGGTCTCTTCCAACCTTCATGGTTCTATTATTTCAAATGCACATTTCACATCTAAAGGCAGTATTTTCAATTTTGAAGGAACAAAACCACATCCACAAAGAAACCTCCTCAAGATTCATTTCTGCAATTAATTCTCCTGCCATGGAAACATCAAAAGCATACTCTTCCATAAAACTACTTGTACTTACTTCAAGCTGCCTAATGGAAGATTCCCTCTCCTCGATAAGACGGAGATCATCCTCTGTAATTTCTTCATCTTGCACTTGTGCTTGTGGTTGACTATCAAACAAAAAAAACCCCAAAACTCACACAGAATTGAATAGGCACAGTGAGAAATAATAAAATGACAGTTAAGTCCATAGCACATTTTACATTACTGGTTAACAAAATGCATGGTTTTACCTTTGCCTGTCTAGCTAACAGAGACAGCATAACCGTCACACCTTAGGTGTAGGAAGCTGCTGCTGTAGCAAAGCTAGTAGATAGCTAGTAGATAGCTGAATGGAAATTTCAAGTATGAATACAAGGACAAAGTTCCTTCTGAATTATAAACTACAGAGTTGATATCTATCTGAGGCAAAAGCAAGCTACCCAACAAAAAATAATCTCAGATCAAGAAGCAGTTCCTGGAGCATATGGAAGCAATGGGACATCCCAGTAAACACTGGGCCCTTATCACAACTGATCTACTCTATTCATCGGTTGGACTCTTCTTAGGGAAGAAGTTAGGGTCTCAGAAAACCCAAAGGCAGATTAGGGGAGCTTAAGGAAATGGCTACAGCTAAAGCATCAGGAGAACTCTTACTTTTTTCTTCCCATCTATGCCATCAAAGTCTCTTCTCTATGCTAGCATTACAAAAGAAAGCCTAACTGAACAACCTATCCCAAATCCCTCCAGAAAAAGGCAACTGTTCTGAGAAAAAACAAAGCAAACCAAAAAAATCCCTAAGTGAAAACAAAAGAAAAAAACAATCCAAAAAACCATGGGCAGCTGTCTTCCCTGCAGGCCATTTATTATTCTGAGCTAGGTTAAGGCTTGTGAACTCAGTCAACCTACCTGTCCCAAGACACAAGTGTTCCTTCTTTGTAGCTATCTTCTGGAGCACCACCCTACATGATCAGTGATTAAAAATACAAATATAATGTTATGGGCCTGAAAGGAGCACTGTCAGCATTTCTATAAGGAGTCAATATTAGAAGGTTTTTAGAAAGTCAATTTCAAACTGAAACATCATTTAACATGCTCTCATCCTGATTTTGCTTTATGCATGCATAAAGATGAAATACAAGCAAAAGCATTCAGCTCAGTAACTGCCTGCTAAAATTTGTAAGTACAGCAACATGTATTTGGCATGGAGTGAAAAGGCAGAATTGATATATTAACATAAAAGAGCTCAACATCTTAAGCTCCTCAGCACTTCTTCACTTTTAATACTCTACAGAAATCTGGCAAGTCATTCTTACCTAAATCTGTTGATATCTAAAGCTACAGCAAAAGCATTTCCAAATCTACTGTAGGTTGTTTTTGCAAGACTACAGCATGAACATGGGGCCAATTTGTGACAAAAGCAAGGGAAAAGTAACTGTCCTCATGTGAGAGTGCTACAGCTTAATGCAGCTTCTACTATAAAGTCATATAACACATGTTCTACAGTATTTAGGGTCAGATATGAGCTTTTTTAAGTAGCACTGTCGAAGCCAGTTTGACATCAAACACCACTAACACCACTGTAATGAGTATAATGGCACATTTTTCTGATACTTACAGACACCCTTGAGCTGGCTCTTACTCTGGCTACAAAGTCTTTCTCTTTCTCCGCAGCTTGCCGTTGAAGTCTTTGGAAATTTGTTAGTGCTGTGGTGAACTCCCCCACAAGACGGTCTTTCTGTATTTTTCTTTGACGCTGTAGGAGAAAAAGTTTTACCAATTCAAATAAACTCAGGCTTTTCAAGGCTTTGCTATTTCCAGTCTGCTCAATGCTAAGGTATATTCTCTTTTTCTTCTAAATTAGTATAAGGGAAGGTCTACAAAACCATTTGCAAATGCATGGACAAATCTTTTTTCCTTCTGGAATAACATAACTCTGCACAAATTAATGCATTTAAAGAGGAAACTGATGTATTCATTTTCATTTAACAGCTGGAAATGAGAAATGGGCAGGGACAAGAAAGCTTTTACCTTCCTTATAATCTGCTGATTATAAAACCTACTGTTACAGTGTAAAATATTTTGATACTACAAATGCTAAAATATGCAAAGGTAACCCAATAGAGAGGAAAGGTGCAGAAACCATCATTCTCTAAATATATACATCAGCCTTCCTTCCAAATGTCTAAAAGGCTCTTATTTGCCATTCATGAATGTGTTATTTAAGCATTTTGTTGAGATCTAGCTTTGATAAAAGGAGTAAAATTAAACAGTAAAACGTTTCATTGCCAAATTTTCAGCTTTTCATTGCCAACTTTTCAGCTCCAAGATAAGGAAACAGAGAAACCATAAAAAAGACAACAAACTAAATATGCTTTCCCTGAACTAGAGTTATGTATTAAGACCAAGTTTTAACATTGTTATTAGAAGTTTAAAGCTTGACAGGATGAGCACACATGAATCATGGCCTGCCATTTGAATTCAGTGTTTCAAGACCATTCATTTTCCCAAGGGCTCCTTAGTAACCTATACTGACCAGGCAAGTTGAGTAACAATAACCCAAATCCATGTTTTCTGTTGTTGTTTTCTTATGTAAGCGATAGATTTTGCCAGGACAAGAAACCACAGGATGGCAGACAGGAGTGTGCTAATCACAACAGCCACGCCACATGTTACGTCCTGACAATATTTTACGCAGACCTGGGAAAGAAGCAGTTTAAAGACTGCACAAGTTGTTTTAGTAACAGCTGCTGTCTACTCTTAAGAAAGGAAAAGCCTGTGGACAAGATATAGCACATATGCTGATCTGAGTGATGTGGAACAGACACACTGTACATAATGTGTTGACTCTGGAAGCAGTCAGAGTGCCACGGGAGTCAGATTTAGCATCACTGCAATGGATTACAAAGTGTCCAGCCACCTGAAATCACGGGCAGGCACAGTGCACTGCTTTGCTCCCCACCATTTCAGTCGAACTACTTCATTCCTGATACATAAAAACAACTTTGGGACAAGTCTGGACTGCAACAAGATATTTTTATAAGTATCCCCACTGTGCAAATGTGTTGACTAACTAAACAGTGCTTTGAAAATAGGAAAGAAGAACTGAAGTGACTCAAATACTCTACATGAGCCAACACGATAGTCAAACAAGCCATGCTCTTTGGTTTTATACCTGTTCACTCGTTGCAGGCAAAGACCCAAACTCTTTAATGTATTTGTCAGTTTCTTTGGCAAGTTGGTTGGTGTATTGCTGCTTCTGTTGCCTAAAATCAAATGAAAATTTTCATTAGAGACCACTGGGTTACTTTGCTGAATTTTACTGATTCTCTAGAAAAGCAGCAGCACTAAATGCTTCTCTAAAACACGCAAAGCCATTTTTACTCTGTTCTTCACCATAAAAAGGTTTTATCTGCAAAACTATTATCAAACCATCAGCATCAATATTTAAAATAATCAAATAACTCTTGGAAAGGCCAAATGTTCAGACAAGTGAAAAATGGACAGATGAAAGCTCAAGGAAGCTTGATATATATTTTGTATCCATAAAGGGACTGGAACATGCATCCTTCACAACAGTTTCTATCCTGTTTAGCTGTGAATTTTTGCCTAGATCTGTCAGGTTATTGCATAAGCTATATCTTCACCTATTCCCAGTCACCAGTAGAATATCCACAGTGGATTGTACCTGTCTAACCTTATGGGCCCTGAACTAAGGGTATTATAAAGCAATTTGGCTGTTCACACAAAATGAACGTGATGACACATCCTCCTACTACTCAACGGCCACAACGCAGCATTAACCGCACCGAAAATGCCAGCTTTCGCACCTACAGGGTGAGCACAACACATCACTTACATGCATTTATGATGCTGAGAACAATGTGGTAAAGGAGTTTAATGAAAAAAATCATACTGGTTCATTAGACCATGCAGAGAAGTGGAAAGCAGCTGACTGTCTCTGCTAGAGGCATATTAATGAAGGACCACCTTTAGGTGACTGATCTACAGCAGAGCCTCTGCCCTGGAGTCTGATTTCACTGCTGTTATATTACTATTTCTGGTACATATTTACTCTATAATGTTATCCCTTACTGCAGCTTTCATCACTAAAAATGACATTCCCCTTTCTCTCTCAGCACCCCATCTCACAAAAAACCCACCCCAATATATTCATTACCTAATGAAACTTATACAGACAGATTAGAAGTGTTGACTGGAGTGGAGGGGTACAGCTGTATGTTTTTAAACAGTGATATTGCTTTGCGGTTGTGCCACTTTCCCCTGACATACAGCACAGGTTTTATAGAATACTGATACTGCAAACAACATGCATGGGCAAACCAGATGACTCCAGTTTACAGACTATTCAAAATTAATTTCAGTAAGCACATCTCAACATTTAACTTTCAAATATTTCCCTATATTCACCTTTCTCAGTGAAATCAAGAACCCTACCTAACAAAAAACAACCTCATCACCTACCAGGAGGTTGTTTACAATGCGATGAAACTAAACATTTTTGTCTGAAGTACTCACAGCTGTTGCCTCAACTCAGGAGTGTCTTGTGGTGTTCCAAGCTGATGTAGTATTCTTTGTATTTCAGCAGCTGTTTGAGAAGAAGAGAAATTTTAATGGGGCAGAGACAATTCCTGCATAGTTTTATGCATTTTTGCTTGATAATTCTAAAGCCATATAAGCTGACAAAAACTGAAACTCAAGACTTTTTCAACCTCCTACAAAGATTCCACTTATAAGTCCAAGAACAACTACCAAATGGTTTTGCCAAGGACAAAGCCCAGGGTTTCTTACAAAGGATAGGAATGTATTCAAGTCCTTAGGTAGAAACAGGTAATTTCAAGATTAGTTAATAGTTTAATTATAATAAGTCTAAATCAGGATTTTTAATATTTTTTTAAAATAAGCAGCACAATTCTTATTCTGGTTTAATCATATTTTATGCATGTCATTTTGGAATGCCATATGAAAGACTGGTATAACATTATCTTACAAAAATATTGCAGAACCAGTGCATCAATGAAGAGGTCATCACAAAGCATTCATAGGTTTACAGCACATTAAAAAAAACCACAACAAACATATGTCTAGGTTTAAATTGCAATTTTGAGAATCTGACATTTTTAAATGTGGGATACAAACTGCCAGTGATTTTTAAATGTATTTCATAAAATATATTAGTTTTGAACTGCAAAAAGTGATACATCATCTGAGCCTTGTTTTCAGCCTGATATATATTACTGTCACATGAGAAAGCAAGGAGAAAAAACACACAGAAACTTCAAGGATATGCAGTTTTTCACACTGCAAGACTTATATCCTCAAGATGCTTTATCTCAGCTTAACATCCTCATGTTCTAAAACAAAAGAATACATATCCAGAATAACTTATATTGCTTGACCCTCAGCTAGGAGTAGACTTGTCTTCCCTGTATTTCTGTGGCCCTCCCCAGGCAGATTGATGTACTACATAGTCAGTAGAAAATATGTTGATATCATACTATGTGGGATCCTCACTTTACTAGCACACTATCTTTTTTTTTTTATCCCTAAACACAGTTAAAAATGCAGTAAGTGACAACTCTATGTAATGAAGAAAACCATACTAAAAATAAAAAAGAATAAAAAAGAGAGTACTCTTCCATATACCATATTCCATATACCCTACGACTTATGTTAATCAGTTAGATAAAACTGGAATTCCTTCAAGCAGTTTTAGTAATAAGATTAATTCTAATTTTTGTTTCGTAACAAGTCTCCAGTGAATTAGATGATACTGAATTTTCTGCACTGCTTTACATACCATCCATGCCAATAACTGCTATAGCCAGTTCTTTCTGCGACACACCCAGGTAAAAACAAGGGAAAGTTAGTCCCTAGTTTTGCATGAGGTAAAAAAATAAAATACTTCAAGGCATATGTTTGAGGAGCATAAACTACTTACAGAACTTCTGAGGGAGAATAGCACTCTAAGGTGGGTTTCATGCAGCTTGTATTTTAGCTGAGATGAAAAGCAGCAAAACCAGAGTGAAAATTTTTGAATTTTGCCTACAGTTTGACCACCAGCCACTGAGAGCCAGCCTTTCCTGTCCAGTGGGGCCTCCTGACTGCTAGGCTGAGGCACTGTCTGGCTGCCCATGCTTCTCCTGGGCACCTGCTGCTGGTCACAGGTACTGATAAACACAGGCTCAGGGTAGTTAAGCTTCTTTTTTGTGGTCAGGGTAATGCATTATTTAAAACAAAACAAACAAACAAACAAAAGGATAACTAGCTTGGTGTTATCTTCAATAGCACAGAGTTTTAATATCTACAAAACTGAACCTTAGCTATCCTTTATTTGTTCCAAGGCATTCTCCCTTCTGATTCAAGAGCCAAGGAGCTCAGTGGTTCCGTAAGTACTTTTCAAAGAGAGAGTAAAAGGAAAACCAAAACAGAGGCAGAAAAAGTTCCGGTGTGTCCTACCGCCACCTAGAGGTGCGCTTTTTAACCGCAAGTACAGAAAATGCAGGTTTGTGTTTTAAACAAAAATTCCCTGAAATAAGGCCTATACATAAAATATTTGCATTACAAGTTATTCACATGTTTATCCTACTTCTAAAGCTGAACACAAGTAGATAATTGAGGGAAAATTAAAAGCCAGCACTGCGTAACTGGTCAGCTATATGATTCCAGATGCAGAGGGAAGTTCACCTCAGTACAAGCCTTATGATTCAGGAATTCAGCATAAAATTAAAACACATTTTACCAGAAAGTCTGTAGTATGCATCAAAATATCAAAGTGCTAACACGCTTTCAAGTCACAAGGGGAAAAAATAAAATAAAAAAAACCAAACAAACAAGGACTGAACTAACACCATTTTTCTGGGTTTCCTGTAATTTAGCATTTTTCACCTTAACCTTTCATAATCAGAATATTACTCACAAAAACCCCAACATTTCTCATATAATTTTTTTTCACATGAAGTATATTGCATAGAAAAGTGAAACGTGGCTTATTCAAGTAAGCAAGCAAAAAAAAAGGCAGAGCATTAAAAGTAATTTTGGCCAACAGTCTTCAGCAGTATTCCCAAAGCTGCTTCCATAAAAAAGCCAAAAGCAAGTTGGTAGGACCAGTATAACATCGACAGTAGAGAAGACGACCTTCCTGAAATCTTGATTTACAGTATATGCCTGCAGGTTGGTGAGTTAAAGAAATCCATCTTTTGTACTCCTTCATATTAATATAAACACACTGGAGTGTAGGCAGACTAAAAAATATGTTGTTTTATAGTCTTACAATTCTTTTGGTTTGGATTGTTTACTCATTTCTTGCTGTAGCTACTTCTCATTCAAATATTTGATATTATAATATACATATAATAACAAAACCACATAAACTATAGACATTTGTTCAGACTCATGAACTCACACAGCTTTATTGATAAAAGCAAAATTTAAAACAGGCTTTAAGACATTACCACCTGGATCACACAGGGAAGGTGTCTTGTACACACAGAGATCTCACAGAATTTGATTCGAAGCAAGAGCTACCTTTGAAACTTAGCTTTTCAGCCCTGTGCAGGGAGTTCAGGCTGTCATATCAAGGCACGTGGCATCTGCTCTGGTGCCTCTCAATTCATCAGTAACACTCAAATGTCCCCGAGAGTCAAAGGCTTACACCCAGCTTACAAAGGCCCAGCTCTGCACTGTAAATATACTGGTAACAGTCAGGGACCAAAGATCAGAGCGCAGTTTTGACAGGTTCCTAGGTTACCTCACCCTTTAAGGGTTTCCCTTCCCCAATTCCCAATCCTTCAAATTCTCCAAGGAGTTTTGAAAGACAGGAGTAATCTGACTACCAGATGTCCCTCCTGTCCTGGACAGTATCAATCCTGTAACAGAGACTGACTGGATCTTGTGCATTATTTTAATCCATTTCAGTGCAAAGTCTGACACTTTGGCTCACTTTAGCACTTAGGCTCCTTGGATGTATACAGCCGGCTGCTGGACTTTGCCCGGGAGCTGCACAAGGATACACATCACGTGCACACAGACGTTCTTCACCAAAGTCACCAGGACATGGGAACAGTCTGCATCAGAAGCGCGTGAACTCCTGTGGCCACTTCCCACTTTTGCATATAATGAAAATCAACAGCTCTTTCAGGGCTCAGACTACAACCCTGCAGGAGCAGCACTTTGCCAGCTGTGGCTGGCAATAAACCACTGCAGAAAGAAAGTCCTCTTTGGGAACTGGGCAGCACAGAAAGCAAGGTACATGATAGCATGCAAGCAAAATTCGTTTTTTTCCAAGCAACTGCTGTCTTGCATGCAAAAGAAAAGAATCTCTTTTTTCACCCAAAAATTAGTCTTGTCTTAGAAAGAAGAAATACCATATCAGCAAGAAGACTTTTCACTTATCATTGCAGCATACCTAATCTAGATCTCATAATACACAACAATTAGCTGACGAAAGCTACTCGGCTACTCTCAGGCTGGTCACATGCTCAGGAACAGGTCAGACACGGTTAATGATGAGCCAGAGAAACAATTAAGACCTAACCTGAATTCCTACAGAGAAAATTATTCCAGAGTTAGCTTATGTTTACTTTTACTAAGCCAAACAGTGCTTCCACTTCTAGTTAGTGGGAGCTCTACCTCTAGTTAAAGAGAAAAAAACCAAAACAAAAACCAAAACCACAACAACAACAAAAAACTAAACAAACAAACCAAACCAAAACAAAAAAGGCACAGGGAAAAAAAAGTAACAGTCTCTCAGATAAAAGACTTCCTTTTCTCCACAAGACAAAAGTTACAGAGTTACAGAAGCAGTCATAGTTACAGGGGAAATATTTACATTTTTTAACAGGTAGGAGTATTTGAGAAACATGTTCCTGACAGATCTGTAATACATACAATTTTTTCATAAATAAAACCATATTTGACATACTGGATTACACACTACCCTTCCTTAATAGGAAGGTAAGGTAAGGAGGCTGGCTAGGTAAGAAGAAAGTTTCATCTCCTTCCTCCTCATCTTGCCTTGTTTTTCAGCCAGCTCTGCAAAGCTGTTTCAGTCCTTCAAGTAGGTTCATGTTGACATAACTGCTCATTCTGATCCTTAAACATGAGAATGTTTAAGATCACACAGGAAGTTTTAAACTTAAAATAAAGACACAAATAAATTAATACTATGAAGACCAAAATGTAAACAACTTCTTGCCTCTAAGATCATAGGTGCAAATAGTGTTATCCCCATCTGAGAATAAGTAATCACTGTACACCACAGCATTGCTACAGAAGAAAAGGTGAAAAAACCCCACCAAAATCCTTCCGTAAAATTCTAACATTTAAAAGGCAATGAACCAACTAAGAGGATGGAAACAAAGAGCAGACTGCAGGTTATCCACCTTCTCTGGCAGGGTTGAGAAGTGTCCAGTTGAAAAAGTGAGTCAACAAATAGCACATCCAGTTATAGATTAAGTTGTACGGAACCTAATAAACTTTGCAGTCTCTTCAGAGCAGGTTATTGGAACAAAAGAATTACTTGTTAAAATTACGCCAGTTCAAGCTGCTTCTGCCTGGGAACAACAGACTTCCTCAATTTATTAAAAT